CAGGCGGACTGTCGGCTGTAACAGTATCAGAAGTAAATGAGGGTAGAAGAAGTTGTTTCTAGCAACAGAGTGGGTTGAAAGGGGATATTTGATTTTAATAACTGTTAACTTCCTACAGCCTCTGCCATGTAGAATAAATTAGAAACTAAGTTTTTGAAAGATTCCATAAAACATGAAAAAAAATCTGTGAGATTGCTCTATACATACCTGCAAAATGACATAAAATCTGTGTAAATTATGGACAATCCTTACAACTTGACATGGTTGTATTGAAACATGAATTGTAGGTGAGGCTGCACCTTACATTTTTGACAGGACAACTAAATGAAGAGACGTACCTTCGCTCTAAAACTAGTCTTCACAGAAGCGCCCCCTGCTGTTCAGTTTTCATATTGACCCTGTGTTGCATCCTTACGGTTTCAAGTTCGTGATTTTGTCCTCGAACTAGTGGAAACTCTTGCACTGCTCTGCATAAGACAACTTTGTTTATATAGTTTAATGTGTTCCTTCTTTAATTACAAGAGGTTGACTAATATTACACATTATTTAAGTCCAGGAAATTGGAATTCTGTTTGCATTAAGCTGTTGGATCATTTGCTTCTTCCATTTAATACCAACAGAAACTTTATCCTTTTTGCTTTTTAAAGCATAGATTTTAATTTTTCTGAAAGCCAGTGTGTTGGAAAAAAACGTTTTACATGTTTTGATCATCCTGCATTGAACAACATTTAGAATAATACACAAGAATTAGACTGAAAATGCAAATAAAAGATGAGAAGTTCGGTGTTTATTAACCAAAGTTATAAAGATTTAAATATGTAGTATTTGCAGCATGACAGTTATTACAAAAATATTGATTAGGATGAACAGAAATGCTGATTTTTGATTGTTTATTACATAAAGCACCAGATTATTACACCACCACATTCGGTAACAATTGCCGCAAAATGTAATAACGTTGCTACATAATGCGGCTGCGAATATTACAAAATGCGTTGAAGACTTTTATTACAATTTGTGTCAATTATTACATAAAGCAGTTTTAGCGCGAATTTATTACATTTTGAAGCTTGATTTTATTACATTATTACATAATGCGTTGTTATTACAAAATGAGGTCTTACAAAGAGTCATCCAAGTTTTTATGTCTGTAAGACATGCTTGTAGTTTAAGTAACTGATTAGTTTTATCAGGTTTCATGGATAAATATAACTGAGTATCATCAGCATAACAATGGAAATTTATCCCATGCTGTTCAATAACTTTACCTAATGGAAGCATTTATAAAGTAAAGAGGATTGGTCCAAGCACTGAAACCTGAAGAACTCCATGACTATAACTATGGTGTAAGCTGAAGATTCATTATTAACATTAACAAACTGGGATCTATCAGTTAAATAAGACTCAAACCATTTTAGAGCTGTTCCTGTAATCCTAATATCAAGTTCAAGTCTACGTAATAAAATATTGTGATCAATTATATCAAATGCAGCACTGAGATCTAACAGGACAAGAATGGACACAAGCCCACTGTCTGAGACCATGAAAATATCATTAGTAACTTTCCCCAGTGCTGTCTCTGTAAAGGTTTAATTACAGCAACCGTAAAGCTCTGTGGCACATAACCATTCATTAGAGACTAATTAAGTACATCTAAAATATAGATATTAATTAAGGGAAATGCTTCTTTGAACAGTCTGGTTGGGATGGGATCTAGCAGACATGTTGATGGTTTGGATGAAGCTATTATTTTAGATAATTCTGACAGCTCAACAGGATAAATATGTTATATATATTCCCCCACTCTAAAGAAGTGTTCTATCTTTTAAACACATAATGTATCTTACTGTAAAATAAATTAATTATTCAGATAAAAAAAATTATATTTCATGTATCAGTTTAGAGATCTCTGGAGATTTTTACATTTGCTTTCTGTCTTTTTACAATTTCAAAATTTCCTTTTTCATTCATCAGTGCTTTATTCRTGAAAAATAAATGTGAAAAGTATATTTTACATGGTCAAATGTCTTTAGATTCCTACAGCTGCTCAGGTGATCAATAATCAAATCTCTAACACGTTTCTGTCTTGTCAGACTTTCTCGTCTTATTACAAAGGAGGGTTTGAGCAGAAGATGTCCAGGAGAGAAGCCAGCCTCATTCTCGGAGTCAGGTAATATCCAGTGTCTTTGTTAGCAGAGCTGCTGTTTATTTTGTGTGTGGGTGTGTATTTGTTTTTGTTAACTACTTAGGACCATTTCCGGTATATGCACCTACCTTGTCAAGACCAGTAGTCCTAATGGGGACCAAAGACCGGTCCTAATATGGTGGAACTCCATTTTTGGGTTGTGGGGTTTAGGACCAAGGTGTGAATTGAGTTTACCGTAGGTTAGTTTTAGGGTCAGGTAGAGGTTAGCCTTCTGGTTTGTGGTCAGGGTTAGGCTGTAGAAATTACTGAAAATGAATGGAAGTCAATGAACGGTCCTAATAAGGATAAAAATACAAACCTGTGTGTGTGTGTGTGTGTGTGTGTGTGTGTGAGTGTGAGTGTGTGTGTGTGTGTGTGTGTGTGAGTGTGAGTGTGA